TTTTGGTTGTTTTCTAGAGGTTTCCTGCATCTCATCTCATAACTCTGTGATGTTTTCCTTAGTTGCTCTTATTCCGCTGCTCACTCTCTGGACTGCATTTTGTATATGACCTACCTACCATACTCTTCATTTCTGTTCTCTTGCTTTCTTGTGCTTTGCTGACTACCTGTGCCATTGTTTCTCTGTGCTCATAAAACATCTTTACAGGTTGTCAGTAAAGTCACTTCCTCATTCATACAGAGCTGGTTGGTACTGGCAGATCCTTTCATGTTACTATTTTCACTCATTGAGTTTGGTGGGCTTCTACAAGTCTTCCCCAGTGTTTTTTGTGTTTCTGCTGTGCTGAGGGCTTATCTTTGTAGATAGTCCCCTCTACCTGTACAGGAGGGAAATCTGCTTCTGAATCTAAAGGGACCCAGGGTATCCTCCAGGAGGTCAACTTCACCTGGAGGTGGAGGTGTTGGAAGAGCAAGCAGAGGTTTAGGAGATTTGGAGGTGAGCTGCTCAGAAGATGGAGAAGGGGATTGGGCCTCAGTTTACCTTTTCACTCAAAAGCCTAGATCTTACCTTGTTAGATTTGCAGATAAGAGAGTGTGCCTGAGGGATCAATTCATATGGCCCTAATTTTGGAACCCATCCTTTCAAGCTCTCTTGTAAAACCTTTTCTTGGAAATGGAGACAGTGGTGGAGGGAAGGTGACAGTGATGGTGGGATTAGTGTTGAAATATTGAATGCCGGTAAAAAGTTATCATGAACAACTTTGTAAACCATGGTGTTTAAACAAAGTGGGGAAAATCTTTTTTAAATACAACTTCTTCTTGGGGCTACAGAGCTCCTATAGCAGGTTGGGCATTTGTCTTATATGTTATCAATCAAGATTTGATCCCCAGAATTCCATATCACCCACTAAGCACCAACAGGAGTGATCTCCTGGCCACTGCCGGCTGTGACTCAAAAAGCCAATAAATGACTAAATAAATAAATAATAAATAAATAAAATTAACCAAATGAATAAGTGACCTTGCAGGCAAGACTTCTACTTGGAGTGCTCCAGTTCGCCATCTGGTGGCGTTTCTTGAGTATAGCTCTTTTTCTGAACATCACGTCTTTTAATTCATGGTCACTCAATATATGTATATATTTTTTAAACTCAGATGTCAAATAAAGCTCTAGATATTAAAATGTTCAAAAAATAAAATAAAAGTAAGCGCCTAGAAACAATAGATTTGTAAAGTAGCAGTTTACAAAATCAATGTATAAAAATACATTCCTATATACAAATACTGAAAGAGAAGAAAGAGACTTTAAAAACAATGCTGTTCACAACTCTTCCTCAGAAAATCAAGCTCCTCAGAATCAGCTGAAATAAAGCTATGAAAGATTTATGCAAAGAAACCACAAAACACTTCTTAAAGAAATAAAAGATGACCTGAAGAAATAGAGACACATTCCCTCCTCATGAATTGCTGGAGCGATAGCACAGTGGGTAGGGCGTCTGCCTTGCACGCAGCCAACATGGCCGACCCGAGTTCGATTCCTCCGCCCCTCTAGGAGAGCCTGGCAAGCTACCGAGAGTATTCGATATGCCAGACACAGTAACAACAAAGTCTCCAATGGAGACGTTACTGGGCCCGCTCAAGCAAATCGATGATCAATGGGAGGATAGGCATCACCAAAATGGCAATACTCCCCTAAGAATTGTACAGATTTTATGCAGTCTGGACTTATTAGGATACCCAGGGAATTTTCAAAGAAAACACTCCTGAAATTCATATGGAAAAATTAACCCCATGAGTAGCTAAAGAAATCTCTGGAGAAAAAAAGAAAGGAGGCATCACCTTCCCAAATATCAAAATATATTACAAAGAGGTAGTAATTAAAACAGCATGGTATTGGAATAATGACAGGACCTCAGATCAATGGAGCTATCTGGAGCTGTCCTCCCGTTGTTCATCGATTTGCTCGAGTGGGCCCAGTAACGTCTCCATTGTGAGACTTCTTGTTACTGTGTTTGGCATATTGAATACTCTCGGTAGCTTGCCAGGCTCTCTGAGAGGGGCGGAGGAATCGAACCTGGATTGGCCAGGTTGGCTGCGTGCAAGGCAGACGCCCTACCACTGTGCTATCGCTCCAGCCCGGATCAATGGAATGAAGTTGAATATCTTGATACATACCTCATATATATGATCATTTTATCTTTGATAAAGGAGCAAGAAATTTTTTATGGAGCAAGAAAAGCCTCTTCAATAAGTGATGCTGAGAAAACTCGGCAGCTACATAATAAAAAAATATGTTAGATGTTGTTCTAACAACATTTACAAAAGTTAAAAGTTAAATAAAAATGGATTAAAGACATCAATATCAGACCTGAATCCATAAGGCACATAGAGGAAAACATAGGCAGAACTCTCCATGACATTGAAGATAAAGACATCTTAAAGGATGAAGCACCATTAACCAAGCAGTGGAAACCAAGATAAATCAATGGGACTACGTTAAA